AGCCCCCCGGAGCCCCCCGGAGCCCCGCACCTCCGGGCAGGTGAGCGCGGGGCAGGAGGTGGCGCAGGTGACGCGTCCCTCGGAGCAGCGACAGGTCCCGCACGGCTCCTGCCACTCGCTGCCGGCCTGCAGGGGGGCACGGACCCCGAACAATGGTCAGGGACCCCCAGGGGGTCAGGGACCCCCCCTGGCCCCCCGCCCTGCTCACCGCTCGCAGCGCCCCGCGGTGCCGGCAGCCGCAGTCCCCCGCGCTCACGCAGTGCCCGGAGCCGTTCCGGTACCGGCCGGGGGCGCAGGCGCAGCGCGGGGGGGGCGAGGGGGTCCCGAGAGTGCCGGGGGTCGTGGGGGCCGCGGGCATCCCGGGGGTGCTGGAGCTGCCCGGAGTCACGGGGGTCCCGGGGGTCCCGGAGGTACCGAGGGTCGCAGGGGTCCCCCCGCAGGTCCCGGGGGGCTCCGCCAGGTCCTGGCAGCTGCGCTCGCAGGCGGGGCCGGGGTCCAGCCATACCTCGCCCGGGGGGCAGCTTGGGGCCACCGGGAACGGCACTGGGAACGCACCGGGAACGGCACCGGGAATGGCATCGGGAACGGCACCGGCACCGCTCTGATCCCGGCCCTCCGCCCACCACCCTCCCTCCCTCCCTCCCTCCCTTCCTCGCTACCTCCCTCCCTTCCTCGCTACCTCCACCGCACTTCCCCTGTTCTCCCATCCCTCCATCTCTCCGTTCCCCTTCCCCAGTTCTCCCATCCCTCCATCCCCCTCTCCCGTTCTCCCACCGCTCCGTTCCCCGTTCCCTCCCCCGTTCCCTCCATGCCTCCTTTCCACCGCTGCCCCCGTGTCCCCCGGTGTCCCCGCTCTCACCGGGGCACGCCTGGGGGTTACACGCCGCCGTCTCCTCCCCGGGGCTCTCCCCGCAGCGCGGCCCCGCCGCGGGGCCCTCCCGGCACTGCCGCTGCCGCCTCCGGGTGCCGCCGCCGCAGCTGCGGGAGCAGCGCGACCAGGGGGACCAGGGGGACACGGCGGGGGACAGGGCGGGCTCGGGAGAGAGGGGGGACAGGGCGGAGAGAGGGGGCGAGGGGGACAGGGGGGACACGGGGTGTGCGGGG